GGAAATAAATTCCTTAAAACCATCTTATGATGACATCTAGGATTTTCACCTAGTGTCTCCTCTATTAATATATAGAGGATTTTTCAGATCAGTCATCAATTATTTCGACATATATTTTAATGCTTATTTTATGTTGATGCCATTTAATAAATATTGAACTAAATTAAAAAGGATGATTGAAATTGAAGTTTCCTTGAGTGGAACGGTCTAAATATATATTAAGGAAATTATTAATTTACTTACGGTCTAATATATATTAAATCGTGTGGAACGGTCTCCATACAAATTTGGATTCATCTACATAAAAATTTAAAATATATGATGAGATATGCGTAGACGTTAAATGTAAGTATTAATATACTTACTGAATCTATGAAACATTTTATGTTTGAATGAATTTTTCATTGACATATGGGTAAATTACCAACCAACTAAATTGTATGCTATTAACTTGACTACGAGGTCCATTCTCCACCCAAATTTGACTTTTAGTGTACTGGTTATTTCGTACATCTACACTGTGAAAACGTATATCAGCTTGTGCTTCTCGATAGATGCTCCCATCCGTAATAGTTTGCATTACTGCAAACTGTACATATCACACATAAATATCAAAGTCAATTATTTATAACATATTTTGCATCTTTTATAACATTTTTTAAAAAGAAGAAAATTTACATGTTGGCGAGGATGTCGGTGTACATGTTAAGTTACATAATATCACACATAAATATTATGTTTTTTCAAGTGGAGATTCGATGTAAAATTATTTTTTTCACGTGAAGTTAAATATTGTTTGTTGATATTTCTCATGACCTTGACTTTAAATTTGATAATAAAAAATTATTTTCTATAGAATTGGAAACTACCAAAATTTTAAGAGATTTTTTTACTGTCATAAGTTCCTTTATAGTATACCAGATGACTTTCTGCGTTATAAGCGGAGATAATGATTTTAAAAAAATTAAAATAATTTGATATTGTGCGTAAGATAACATAAATCATTTTCGATACTTATTGAAAATTTTGTGTTTTAAAACAATTTGATATTGTGTGTAAAATAGTACAAATCATTTTCAATATTTGTTAAAAAAAAAATCTTAGATACATGTTTATTATCTCTTTGTATCAAATTAATTAATGTTATTAAATTAAACCATCTTGAAGGTCTTATCGATTAAATCATTATGGAACTTA